GAAGTCAACTTTAAACACACACATGAGAATCCACACAGGACAGAAACCTTTTTGTTGTGGTATATGTGGACAGAGCTTTAGCCATAAATCAGCTTTAAACACACACATGAGAATCCACACAGGACAGAAACCTTTTTGTTGTGGTATATGTGGACAGAGCTTTAGCCATAAATCAGCTTTAAACACACACATGCGAATCCACACAGTTAGGAAATCTACTTAGCTATGAATACAAAGTCAAACTGCACAATATTTGTGCATCATAATAAAAAGCAAGTGTTCACTGGGTTTCAGCGTTCATTTCAAAATTTACAATTAATGTTTTCCTATTTATTTATTTTTTATTAAAATCTCAGATTTCTTCAGTCGGGCGGGAGTTCCTTTGCCAGGCTTGTTTAGGTATAATTTATCCTTTGGATGGATAAATTTATGGCATCAACGAACATCTTTTGACTGAATACTTTATTTTTAAACATTAGCATTTGTTTAAGGACTAAATATTTTTGTTAAAAGAATATAAGCAGAAAACCAACATTTGTAATGGAAATAAAAAAACTTTTACAGGACTGTCTGTTTTTTTATGGCATCTTTTTTGTAATTTTTGTAACTGTGTTTCTAGCCTTAGGTTCAGTGGTTGTGCGTCAGCTGTATATTTAAATGTACATATTCAAAAATATGACATAAGCATTGCATCAGATCTGCAGCTGCAGTGTTTTGAAAAGGGAGTGGTCTGCTCACTCACTACTCACAGAAAACAGTAACTCTGAGCTATTGGTGCATGTGTTGTCACAAGGGGTGTAAATCACATCCATCATGGCGATTCGATTCAGTATCGATTTCCTGACCCAACGATTAGATTATTTTCGATACTGAAGAATACACCACGATTCGATTAATTTTTTTTTATTTTTTTTTTAGACCTTACAGGCTAAACAAAGTTTCAAGTTTGAAATAAATCAATGAAAGCTGTAATATCGTTATGCATTTTTTTTTTTTAGAAACAACAGCAAATAACAGAAGTAGAAAAGTTGCATCAAAAAATTACGACGGAGTATTAGGGCCACACATGAAGAGAAAAAATA